TTCCATTAACAAGTTTTTAGAGAATAAAATATATTTAGAAAACTAAAATTTCAAAGTATTAAGGAAGGTATATATATTATCCATGTCAAATGAAGGAAGGATGAAAGTGGGAAAAAAAAAAAGATGAGAAAGAAGATTCAAATTATGTGACATTTGGCAGCAACTTTTCCATCTAACACAAGAAATTATTGATGAATACTTGACCTAAAGGAGTCACTGTCACCTCACCCCTCATCATCTATCTATCTATCAACAATCCTATTTAACAAACACAAATTTCCACACCATCATATGTGTCAAAAAGAAAGAGGACTCAGTCAGTCTAATTCGCGTACCACATTTGTCAATTTTATTATTTCAAAAATCTTATCCATATAAATTCTTTTTGAACAAAATTAATTATATAATAATTATTTTCTATTACTTTTTTTATATAATTTCAAAATAAGAATTGAAAAATAGATCTAAAACTTATTCTTTCCTTATTAAAAACTAATTTCAATTTAAGAAAAACTTATAAAGAAACTTATTTAAATATTATTTAACAATATACAATTGTTATATATAGAGTGAAAAATACATAGTTCTTTATCATTATTTTTATTCTTTTATCTTTCATAAAGAAACGCCCAATCAAAACTAAAATAGAATAAAACATGCACAGAGCATGTAAAAAAAACAAGTGAGCGTGAACAAGAATCCACATATATGTGTATATATATATCTATTATTTTTTCCACGTGGATTAATCTTCTTCCTTTTAAGACTCTTTAACTGCATTTTATATATTTTAACTTTCTTTTTTACTTTTTTTTTATTATTATTCATTATGATTGGTTAAGTATATTTATGTTGACCATAAAGTAAAAAAATAAATAATTTTTTTAATATTAATATAATTTATCATTTTTTATCGGATTCAAGATAATATTATCATAATATTTATTTTCACATATAAATATTTAAAATATCTTTTTTTTATTTAATTGTTCTCAAATTTATATTTGTTATTCTGAAGTTTGATTTTCAATTTTATTTTTTCCTCTTTCCAAATTTAAGCATGTTCCATTTTCACATTGGTGAGTTTAAGTTTGTATTTGAATATATTTTATGTCCTATTTAAGCAAATGAAAGAGCTTTGGTGGATTATATTTGGATAGAAATTTGAGAATATTTATGAGAGTGAATTTGAGGGAGAGAGTGATAAAGTATTCCTGCTACAATAAGGAGAAAACAAAGAAACATATTTCATAAAGACTACATTTACCTTATTATCCCTATTCATGTGTTTCACGTGAACCATTATATATGGCATCCCAAAAACAATGGCTAATAACAAATGATTCACTCGAATGTGTATGACATCATTTCATGACCATGACCCTATTAATCCTTGAATTAGTCATTAAATAGTTGTGAGAGGAGGTGCTCATCGTATAACTTTGTTGTTTGTGTGTGAGACCGAGTCTTTGTGGTGGAGGTTTGATTTGTGTATATGGTGTGCTTTGATGACTGAGATTAAATGAGAGATAAAGAGAATCGATTTTTGATGCATACAAAATCAATTATCTAAAGTTTCATGAAACAATAATAGATTATGAGAAGCTATTACTCAATCACTTTCATAATTGATTTATTTTTATTATTTTTTATTATACACAATTATATATTATTTATTTGATATGAATATTATATTTTTTTAATAAATTAATGTCACTTCAATTTAAATTAATTTTATATTTAATTTGAAATAATTTATCAATTAAAATTAAACTTTTATTTTATTTTAAGAAATTATCTAAAATTTATTTCAAATTAATTTCGACCTATTATATTTTATTTTAATTTCATATATTTAAATTTTTACATTTTAAATAATATATTACATCTAAATAATTTCAAATATTAAATTATATATGTGTGAGAATGGATTCTCAATTTTCTTTAAAAAAATCACTTTTGAAATTATTTATTAATATTAAATTATATATATTTAATGTATTTAATTACTATTATTAAATAATAACTTATGTTTGTTATAAAAGTTTTCAATGTTATTAATATATTAATTAATAGGTAGAATACATTATCACTTATTTGAAGAGAATTAATTATCTTTCTCAACTCATTTAGCATAGTTCTTAAAATTGAATTTATTATCAAACTGAGTGTAGGGTTCAAAGATTCAACTAAACATTAAATTAGGTTTAAAAAAATATATTTTAATAATATAATAATATATTGAACTTAAAATAAATTTATCACATCATAATAATAATTTCAATCCAATATAAATATTATTTTAAAAAATATTATATAATAATAAGAATGATTGGTGAAATACATAAAACAAATAATATTAATAAATATATTATTAAACATTTTGAGTACAAAGTAAGTAGAGAGGAAAAAAAATTGCTGTTACACCTAACTTGAAAATAATAATAAAAAAAAATTACAACTCACTTGAAAATAATTAGAGAAAAAATTACATATAACTTAAAAATAATTAAGGAAAAAAATTGCACCATATCTTCGATTACATTTTACTTCAAATTTTATATATTTTATTTTATTTGAAGACATGACAATGAAACCCAACGATAACTCACTGTCTACTTATTAATTAATTTTTAAAATTAAGAGATTGTGATTCTTACATGTTTTTGTATTTTTATGAATGATCGTAGTGATTATAATAATAGATAAGGATAACAGTAATAACGATTTTAGAAGGAGACAATTAAAGATAATGGGACGATAATTGTAAGATGGAAGACTATAGTAAAAGAAAAATATCACAACTAATACAAAAAATAATTTTTTTGTTATGTTTGTGTATTTGTATATTAAACTAAAACTTTTTTAGGAAAAAACAATGTCATTTTACTAATTTTTATTAAAAGAAAAAAGAAAATAAGTAAGCCCGATTTTTCTATTTTTAACCGATTAATTATTTATCTGATTTTTGTTAATTATCTAAATGAATTATTGGACGGTTCCCGTCCAACCAGTTTAACTGGATCCGATCTGGTTCTAATATATAGAACATCAATTATCATGGTGAGAGATCTCAAATATTTTATTAATAAAAAAGTATATTTAATTATTTTAAGTATATTATATATGCATTTAGTATCAAGAATGATATTAATATATTAATAAGAATTTTATTTATTAATGTATTAAATTAATAATTTTACAATTATCAAGTATTTTAAATATTTTATAACATATAAATATTTGATATGATTTTGTAAGTTAATTATAAAATATAATATAATTATAAATTTTAATGAATAAAATATATAAATTTGATAATCAACATCAGAAAATATATTTCAATAATATGGATATGAATATTAATAATATTGTAAATATTGATTTAATTTTTTAATATCAATATTAGTAATATATTATTATTATTATTGTTATTGGTATATTAGTACTATAAACAAAATAATAAGAAAAATTAGATGAAATAATAACACAAAATAAATAAAAATCTAAATTATTATTTTTATAATGTGTTTAGTTTTATATTTTTTATATTTTCTTTTACCTTATATTATTTTTATATAAAATATATAATAATAATTATTTTAAAAATTATAGTAAGATGATTTTTAATTACTAATTTATAATAATTTTAATGTGAAACAATTAAAAAATATATAGTAAATTTGTTAACTTTTTTATTTTAGATAATAATTCATATTTCATTTTTAATATAAATTAACTTTAATTATATTTTATTTTAAATTATATTTTTAATACAAGAGTAAAATTATAATCTTATAATTTTATTAATTAAAACATTTTTTTTATTTATCAAATCAATTATATCATTCATAAATTTTTATATATTTTTTTCTTATAAATATTTTCTTATTAAAATAAGAACACACTTTTTTTTTCAACAAATCCATTTATTTTCGAAACCTCAAATTTATCCTATAATCTAAACATATTCTAAATCTTTTGTCGTAGTGTTGTTCGAGGGATGAAGAAGAAGAAAAATAAAATGGAAAAAGAAATATTGAGCACTGAAACCAAGGGTAGAGAGAGTGAGGTGTTGCAGCTTTACCATTTTCTCTTTTCTTTCCTTCTTTCTACAAAGTAGTAGTACTGTTTGGTTTCTCTCCATGTCTTGTCCAATTCCAACTTTCTCTTCCTCTCTCTCCTTCTTTTCACACCCTTTCTAGCATTTTTATTAACCCATGAATATGTATGTGATCCTAAAGTTTGATTATTTATAGTTAATAAAATAACTACTTCAAACATATAAATACAAGGGTGATGATATTTTGAAAATCATAAATTATACAACTTTTAAATAACTCATTTTTATTAATATAATAATTTATTAAATAATTTAATAAAAATAAATAAATTAAAATTATTATTATAATATTAAAAAAGAGTTACATTTAGGAATTATATAAATTTGAAATGTCAAAATTATGTTTTCCTAAATATAAATCCTAAAATAGATTATTTGTAATTTACTTCATTCCTATTTGGTTAAGTTGTCATCTCATGTCCTTTATTCTTTGCATGGTCTATAATGAACCATTTTAAAAAATTTAACAATTTAATACTAAATATATATTAAAAAAATATTGAATAGCCGTTATTTTAAAAACACAGTAATGCTTACGCTAGCAAATTCCCTGTAATACGTAAGCACATATTACTATATTTCATTTTTTCTTGGTTATAACAAATACTAATACTGTGTGGGATCTCTTTTTCTGTCATCTTTATTAATGGATGTGCAGGGACAACATTGTGCACAGGTAAATGCTGTACCTTAAGATATTTAACCTCTTTTCAACTATATTCAATTATAGTATTATTCACAAACCCACCATGTCTAAAAAAAACTACCTTTTATCCTTACAAAACTTGCTTTTTGGATCTCTTAATGGTGAATATCTTACTAGTTTCATCATCTTATTGAATCGAGTATGGTTGTGGTTTGATAAAATTTTGTATACCTGAACCTGAAAATCACATGATGAAATTGATTTGAACCAAGGTTTATAAAGCCATACGAGTTAGATTTTAAGAGTTAATCAAATCTTCTCATAATCGATTTTTAGTCAGGTTGGACCAATTATATTGAACCTATTCTGACAACTATATATGGTTTGACTGCAATTAATTTGCCTTGGTAAGTTGAATATAAAAAGTGAATGAAGAATAACTTATAATTTTTAAAAATGATTGAAAATAATCTGATAAAACAAAACCAAACTCCAACTATTTGTAAGAATTAAACCAATTTTTTCAACATTTATCAAATAATCCAAAAGATTAATGCATTAGACAAAAACTTTCAGTCAATAAAATTAATAACATAATCACTAATCTAATAAAATAATAAACAAAATATAAAGTATTTATTAACCATAAGGGTAGTTATGGTTGTAATTAGTAATTAGAAGTAGGTCGAGTGCATGGGTGAAGTTATCATGTGATGAGTGTCCCTTATCATTCGCGTGCCCTCTGTTTTCTTTCTCGCATATTAAGCGCTGAAACTGACGTACCCTCTCTTTCTCTCTCTGCCACACTGTGGGGTCTCTCTCCATGTCTTGTCTTATCACGCTTTCCTCTCTCTCTCTGGTCCATTTTACTTCACCTCTCTGCCTTGACTCCTCCGAGCCTCCAACACAGCACTACACAACACAACAACACCTATCCTCTCTCTCTCTCTGCACCTTGGTTTCCACTTTCTCTCTGCTTTAAGAACCCACCACTGCTTCAACTTGTGCCGTTGCTTCATGGACCAGACCTCATAGCTTCTCTCTCATTAGTCAGTCACACCAGCCCTTGGTGAGCATTTCTCTTCATCTTTTTAGCTTTAAACCATCTGGGGTGTCTCCTTTTATGCTTCACGTGGTGCAGGAAATCATCTGGGGGGCTATGTTATCTAGTATGAAAAAGTTCTTTTTTGCAAAAGATTTTTTTAGCTTGTGCTTTTTATGTTATGGCTAAGTGGTTCTGGAGTTTAGTTTTTTTTTTTTTTTTTTTTTTTTTTTTTTTTTAAATAATGGTGCTGTTTGAAAAGGTTTTGTTGGGTTGCTATGTTCTTAACATTGTGTATGCATGTTTGAGAATTTGGTTGGTGTGAATTAGCTGCCAGTGATAAAGAGAAGTGAAGCTCCTTTCAGCTTTTGCCTCTCTGCCTTGGTGTGCTATGATGTTAAGTCAATATCGATGTTTCTGTTTATGTGCCCTTCCTTTGTTGTTGCTTCAGATTGTTTCGTGCAGTTCCTGAATTTGCATCTGCCCGTTGATTTTTTTTTTTTGCTTTCTGTTCTAATTACCTTCTACTTTTCAAGTTTAGTGTTTATGTAGTTGTGTCTGCGTTCAATTGATGTTCAGGACGCTCTTTGGGTCTCCCTTTTGGTCTGTTAATGAGCTTCTGTTCTTGAATTTTTTTTTTTTTGGGGGGGGGGAAGGGAATGGCTAAGTCGCTAGTGCAGTATTTTCTCATTCATTGTTCTTGATTGTAATGTTAGAAGAGAACATGAAACTAATACATGGAGAATGGCTTTATGGATTCAAAGTTTTGAAAGAATAGTATTGTTGTTGATAGTAATTAGGCTGAAAATAAAGTTGGTGCTTTGAAGTTTAAGGTATTGATCCTTGAACATTTCTGCTCTTATCACATGATCTCTTACAAAATATGTTGTCCGCATTGTTTTTTTTGTCTTAGATGTTTAATTGCATATTAGTTTTCATTCTTTATTTCTTACATGTATTTAGCATGGTCACGGGAACTCTTTTTTTGAACATATCACTTGCTGCAATACAGTAAAAAGTGAGAGAGAAAATGATGCAGAGTCTTGTTGGTTTGTGTCTGCGTGTCTTGGTAGATTGTATTTTAAAAAACCACAATTGTTTTTTTGATTAATGGCTTAATTAATTTTATCTGTGTCTGATCTTAACTTAAATTATCAATATATAAGCTAGTCTCAAACTTATTGTTATTATAGGCTCAATTCTTAATGCAGATAGTTTTATATAGTGTTTAGTTATGCATTCATGATCATGGGGATGATATTGTCTTTTTTATTTATTTATCTGAGTTGTATTGTATGTATATCTTAAGAATGATATGAAGGCATTGGTAAGAATAAGAATTCAGCATTGTCTGATTCCTTTTGCTCATTTGTGAACATATATGTATTTCCTAACATAAATCCCCCTCCAAAGACGACATTGTCAAATTTCTAGCCCTCCCCACCTACAGCTGTGTTCTTAATGGAACTCGAATTGATACCACAATTTGTCATGAATTTTGTAGAGACATCATGAAGATTTTAAGTTCCAAGCAACTGAATGTGTTATTTGCACTTGGAAATGAAGGATAGACAACGTTGGAGAGCTGAAGAGGATGCTTTACTACGTGCATATGTCAAGCAGTATGGTCCAGGAGAATGGAATCTTGTGTCTCAGCGCATGAACACACCTCTCAATAGGGATGCCAAATCATGCTTAGAAAGGTGGAAGAACTACCTCAAGCCTGGCATTAAGAAAGGATCTCTTACCGAAGAAGAGCAGCGTCTTGTCATCAATCTTCAAGCAACACACGGAAACAAGTGGAAGAAAATAGCCGCACAAGTCCCTGGTCGCACTGCCAAGAGGTTAGGAAAGTGGTGGGAAGTGTTCAAAGAGAAGCAGCAAAGAGAAACAAAGGGGAATAACTGCACCGTCGACCCAATTAACCATAGCAAGTACGAACATATACTCGAGAGTTTCGCTGAGAAACTGGTGAAAGAAATCCCTTCACCATCATTTGTTATGGCTACTTCTAACAGTTCTTTTCTGCACACTGACGCACCAGCGCCTGCACCAGCCTTGCTTCCATCTTGGCTTTCAAATTCCAATGGCACTGCACCTGTGAGGCCACCCTCCCCTTCTGTGACTCTCAGTCTCTCTCCCTCGACGGTGGCAGCGCCTCCTCCATGGATGCAACCTGTGAGAGGACCAGACAATGCTTCTCCTCTTGTTTTGGGGAATGTGGCTCCTCATGGGGCTGTTTTAGCATTTGGTGAAAACATGGTGATGTCTGAGCTGGTGGAGTGCTGCAAAGAGTTGGAAGAAGTGCATCATGCTTTGGCTGCACACAAGAAGGAAGCAGCATGGCGGTTAAGCAGGGTGGAGCTGCAGTTGGAGTCAGAGAAGGCTGGCAGAAGAAGGGAGAAGATGGAGGAAGTTGAAGCCAAGATCAAAGCTCTGAGGGAGGAGCAAACAGCTGCATTGGATAGAATTGAAGCAGAATACAGGGAGCAGTTGGCAGGGTTGAAAAGAGATGCAGAGAGCAAGGAGCAGAAGTTGGCTGAACAATGGGCTGCAAAACACATGCGCCTCACCAAATTTCTAGAACAGGTAGGATGCAGATCAAGGCTCTCTGAACCAAATGGAAGATGAGTCACATCATTCACATTTGGGAAAGTCTAGTTTACTCTTATAACTATTTATGTCTTGAATTTATATGAACTTTATAGTCATAGTAGTTTTGTTCCTGTCATTATTCTAAAATTTGTTGTTACATATGGCTATTAATATCCCTATCTTTTCATACAACTTGAGAACTTGGATAATTGAGTTATGTTTACAATCACTTTATGGATATTAACTTTGTTATCATTCCAATTTGCCTGAAAAACTTTGCAAGAATTGTCCACAGCGTTCAATCCCCTCAGATTCAATTTGGCTTACAAATGAAGCTTGTTGCCTATAAAACATCTATTTTCCATGACCTTGAGGTAAAGGAATAAGAAGGGAGAGAAAGAAGAAAGAAGAGTTGATGAGTTTTCAATTGAAATTATTGACCGAATCTTCTTATTTCTTTGTTGAAGATAGTAAAGATATTAACGTGTAGTTGATAATTGCTTTCCGAAGAATGTTCTTTAGCTGAATTTTAAATTTTAACAATTGACAAATCTTCCTGCCCCTTTGTTAGAGGTAGTATAGACAATCATGTGCGGATGATAATTTTATTCAACCAATGTTGATTTAGTGATTTTTTTAATACTAATCAATTAGTGGAAACTACATCATGACATTGATGTTAATTATTTTACTGCTAACTTAAAATTATGTTAATACTTAAATAGATCGTGCTCAACCAACAGAAATAAATAAATATATATGTTATTATCTTAGAAAAAGTTAAAATAATGTTTCAATAAATAAAAAATTTAATACAACAAGTACATTAAAGAATATTTTCATTCAAAACTATATATCTTTTATTATTAAAAGACTTAGCTATTATAATTGTAGTTTAACTGTATTGATGTGTTTATATGTAATAATAGATCATGGATAATTTCAAATAAAATAACCAAGAATACATGTTACTTTTTCAATCATGTCCGTAAGATTATTTGATTTTTTTACGAAAGATTTTCAATCACTGAAATAATTTTCTTATTTCAGTGAGTTTTTCTTTAATAAAAAATTGTATTTATGACATTTTTTTAATATTAAAATATTTCTATATTTTAGAATAACTAAATTATTGTATATAATAGGTGATTTTTACCTTGAGAAATATCAGCTTGCTTTCATAATTGGATTGTTATGTTTTGAAGATATTCTATTGACAACGAAGTGAATTAAAAATAATATATATATATATATATATATATATATATTTTTTTTTTGAAAATCTCAATTTATAAACTAATTTTTAGGATGAATTAAATATCTTTCCTAACGTAACATGATATAAACATTAACTCTAAAAATAATATAACATTGTGCTGTTTGTTAACAATTATTAAAATATATTACTCGTTTATTATATTATTAAATCATTCGTATAATCGATCTAGAGAGAAAATATATTATATAATATGTTAAAAAATATTATTGCATGTGTTAATATTTATTTTTGCGAAAGTCAATTTTAAATTAAATAATTATAACAATTTTTTTCACATAATAATCGTTTTTGATGATATTACAAGATTGTAATATTTTGTTGAAGAACAAACTATCCATAACTTTAAAAAAAGTTTAATAAAATTAAAAATTCCTTAAATAGAGAAGAGGTAAAAAACATAACATAATTTATATAAAAAAAATAAAAATAAAAATCATGCTACATAATAAAATTTATAATATAAAAATAAATAAACTCATATTATCTAATATCACTTTGGTAAAAAAAATAAAAAAGCTAAAATAGTCTTAGGTGAAATGACTTCTTAGTATAGAAGCTATTTTAAAATATATCCATTTATTAGGGTAAGTTTCATCAATAAATGTATGGTTTTGTTCCACTAGCCTAAAATTAACTAATTATAACAAAACAAATCGCATTTAATTAATTTTTTTATCATAAATTATATATATATATATATATATATATATATATTTTCCATTGCCTATTGTAATTTAGGTATTTTTTAAAATTTTAGATTTTTTGTCTTTTTTTTATTTAAAAAATTTATAGGTTCGTTCAAAATATAAAGTTATTGAAATTCAAAGTAAAAAAATTGTATTTATCTACAACACGTGTGAGCTTTCGGAGTTTAGATTTGAGTAATGTGTTGTGTATCATGGATTTTTTGTTTGGTCATCACGAATTTTTTATTTTATACATATGATTGATGGACTTGTGAGTTTTTTTGAAAATCAAATGTTAAGATGCGTTCAATCTTATTTTTTATAAAGAAAATTTAAATTTTGTAATCATAATTTATTTGTAAGTCATAAAATTCTTATGTATACAATTTTTTATGGTATGTTTGATTCAATTTTGTATTTTAACATTTAAAAATATCTTTAATAAATAGTTTTCAAGAATTATATTTAGAATAAGTTGAAGAAAATTTATTTAATAACTCTAATTTAAAAATTATTTTAGATAAATGATACTTATAATAAAAATTAGAAATTAACTTTGATAATTTTGTAACTAGGAAAAAAAAGACGTGACATAGGAGTACATATATCATTAAAAGATAAAAATAAAAATAAAAAAACAATTTTTTGTGTGTTTCATATTTTATTTTTTAAATTTTAAAATAAAAAATAATATTTAAAAATTAAGAAACTAAATTCTTTTAAAATAAAATATAGAAGTTCTTACAAAAAATAAAATTAACCTTAATCTTTTAAGATCTCAGTTCAGCAAGGAGTTACATCTTAAAATGTCAAAAATAATAACCAGGAGAAAAAAATAATATCCTTTTTAATTATTTTCAAATATTTAATAAAAATAGATAGGAAATATTGCTGTTTTCAGTCTAAAAAAAATCATCAATTACTTATCTATTTGGCGTCGGTTTGAAAAATACATGTAAATTATTTATACATTGGATATTTATTGAATTCCATGAATACTTTCTACATTTTTAATAAATTTAAATAAAATTATTTTAAAATTTTTCTTTAAAATATAAACTTAACTAATTTAAAAAAAATACAATCTTAATATATTATAAATTATTAATACAAATAAAATGAATATTTTTAAAAATAAACTTAAATATACTGTACCACAAAGTATAAATTTACTCAAAATTAATATTTTTTTACAAATAATTTTAATTTAATTAATCTAAATAAAAAAAAACATATAACTTAAAACTCTAGATAAATTTTCAATTATTAATATTTTTTTCTTAATTTTTTATATATGGAGATTTTTTTAATTTTTTAAAATAACTAAAAATTATTCAATAACAATACTCCCATAAGTCAGTAATTAAAATAATTATAGTTCATCTAGTATTAGCACTATTATTGTATTATTTTCACCCGTATTTTGTGACAGAGCTATATGGAGATGACATGAAACCCATGAAAGAGTGTTGAGTGTAAGCTGCATACAGAATCATCGTCACATTGATTCATGGGATTGGCTTTCGCAACAAAATTTGGGGTTGTCTGGAAATCAGATTAGGGTTTTAAACAGCGCGATTTTCTCACCGTTCCATTTCTCGTCTTGTTGTGGAATCACAAAAGTGAAAATAATTAAACCTGGGGAGTGAAGGTTCGGGTTTCGATCCTCGCTCCTTGTGTTGTTCCCTCCTTCGGTTTTGGCGCTCGCTCATGGCCGAGAACATGGAAATCGATTCTCCCTCCGATTTCCAACCGCTCAAGCCTCGCGATCGAGTCGTTCGGGTAACAATCGTCTTTTCTCTGGTTCCCGTCGTTTGTTTTACTATTATCGAAATTCACATTCTTGGTGGTTTCGTCTCTGTTTGATTATCCTTGCATTTGATTAAAGAATTGTTCTGATTGGTTTAGTTGTTTTGAATTGTTTCTGTCCTTTTGGATTAAATGATTTTTTTTTTCATGGATGCATACTGTTGAATTTTGAAATTTAAATTTTTGTGTTGAATTGTGTGTTTGATATGTGGTTTTGGCTTGGTCTGCAGAGGCTTGCCCAGTTTGGTGTTCCTGAGGAGCAGCTCGACCAGCCTGGTTTGGTTGCTTTTGTTAAGGATAAGAAGGCTTTGATACCTGAGCTGGTGTCTGTTATATTGCCTACTGATGTGGAAGTTATAGATGCCTTTCAAGCATCTAAATTGGCTTCTAAAAAGACGTCGGGTGTGATCATGAAGAAGAGGTTTCATGAGAGCATGGTGTGGTTGCAGTGGTTGATGTTTGAGGGTGACCCAGGCGGTGCTCTGAGAAGGCTTTCCGAGATGTCTGTTGGGCAGAGGGGTGTCTGTGGGGCTGTTTGGGGCAACAATGATATAGCTTACAGGTGTAGGACGTGTGAGCACGACCCAACATGTGCTATCTGTGTTCCTTGTTTTGAGAAGGGGGATCACAAGGGTCATGATTACTGTGTTATATACACGGGTGGTGGTTGCTGTGATTGTGGCGATGTGACTGCATGGAAGCGTGAGGGGTTCTGCTCAATGCATAAGGGTGCGGAGCAGATACAACCACTTCCGAAGGAATTTGCAAACTCTGTTGAACCTGTGCTTGCTTCTCTTTTCAATTGTTGGAGAGTTAAGCTAACATTGGCAAGTGAATCTGTTACTGAAAGAAGGCAGCCAGCAAATGAGCTAACTTATGCTGTGGTTGATATGCTTCTAGAATTTTGCAAGCACAGTGAGAGTTTGCTCAGTTTTTGTGCTAGATTGTCGTTTTCTTCTGATGGTTTAATTAACATGCTGGTGAGAGCTGAGAGGTTTTTAACCGAAGTTGTTGTAAAGAAACTCCATGAGCTACTCCTGAAATTGTTGGGAGAACAAAGTTTTAAGTATGATTTTGCTAAAGTTTTTCTCACTTACTATCCAAGTGTCATAAATGAGGCCACAAAGGACTCCAGTGACATTCCTCTAAAGAAGTACCCACTACTATCAACGTTCTCTGTGCAGATACTTACAGTGCCCACTCTTACCCCACGTCTTTTGAAAGAAATCAATCTACTAACCATGCTGTTGGGATGCCTTGAAAATATTTTCATTTCTTGTTCTGATGACGGACGATTACAGGTAATGAGTTGTTACAATTTGGTAGATATGACGCAAGATGTGCCAGGATAAAGAATGTTTGTTTGTTTTTCATCCTTCTACAAAATTTTAAGTTTTTGTGGTTGAAAAGTTGGTTGAGTTTTATTTTAATGAATGTATCTGTACTTCTCATTATTATTATGTTTCTAGTCTTCTTTCATGACATTTCATTAAAAAAATATAGGATCCCTTTGTAGGTATCCAGGTGGGCAAATTTATTTGAGACAACAATACGTGTTGTTGAAGATATTCGATTTGTTATGAGCCATGTGGTAGTGCCCAAATATGTAACCAATGACCAGCAAGATATCTCAAGAACATGGATGAGACTTCTATCCTTTGTACAAGGGATGAACCCTCAAAAGAGAGAAACAGGTCAACATATAGAAGAAGAAAATGAGAATGTCCATTTTCCTTTTATTTTAGGGCATTCTATTGCCAATATTCACTCTGTATTGGTGGATGGGGCATTTTCTGATGCTAGCAAGGGAGAAATAGATGGTGAAACTGTTTGGAGCTCTAAAGTTAATGATTCAGATGATGGAGATAATGTAAGGCATGCAAAGGTAGGGAGGAAATCTGAGGAAAGCTCTGCATGTAATGTTACTAGCAGGAATAGTACCTTTGCTTCTCCAAAGCTTTGTGAGATAAAAGCTGATGCATCTTCAAATCTGCCTCTTCCACGTGCTGTCACTTGGTTGATATATGAGTGTTTAAGGGCTATCGAGAATTGGTTAAGAGTTGAGAATACCCCTGGTGTACATCCTAATGCATTATCTCCGAACAGTGGTAGTGCCTGTGATGGAAATTTTTCAGCATTTAAGAGAACAATATCTAATAAGTTTGGGAGGGGTAAATATGCATTTGGTAGACTTGCCAGTACAAGTGAAGATCATGGTAAGCAGATTTCTGAAAATAGTGAAGTTGATTCAGAAAATACCTGTATTCATTCCATTTCTGATGATAATGCCATGGAAGAAGATTTTCTTGTGGAATCAGATGGTCCCCGTTTTTTATCATTGCCTGATTGGCCACAGATAGCCTATGATGTGAGTTCACAGGATATTTCCGTGCACATTCCGTTACATAGATTGCTTTCCATGTTGATACAGAAGGCAATGAAAAGATATTTTTGTCAATCAGAAGTCTCAGATGTGACTCATGCTTCTTCTGCTAATTCGTTGGCAACTAGTTACAGTGACTTCTTTGGACAAGCTTTACGAGGAAGCCATCCATTTGGTTTCTCTGCCAATATAATGGAGCATCCATTGCGGATTAGGGTCTTTTGTGCCGAAGTCCATGCTGGAATGTGGCGTAAAAACGGAGATGCTGCTCTACTATCCTGTGAATTGTATCGATCAGTACGCTGGTACGTCCATTTTTATTACTATATGCTGTATGAGGACTGAAACTCATCCATTACATTATACTATATTGGTTTGTTATTTTGACAATCAGCAGGTCTGAACAAGGTCTGGAGCTTGATCTATTTCTTCTTCAGTGTTGTGCTGCACTAGCTCCAGAAGATCTATTTGTCAGCAGAATTCTGGAGCGCTTTGGTTTGTCAAACTACTTATGTCTAAATCTTGAAAGATCTAGCGAGTATGGCCTCTCTTGCAACAAAGCAAACTCTTCATGCATATTTGTTACTTTGAAATGCTTAAATGTTCTGTATTATTGGAAGTTAATGGCGTGCAAGTACTTGAACAATATAATGTTTTTTCTGGATTGGCTTTTTTGTTGTGGTCCTTCTGTAGCTTTAGTCAGTCCTTTGTTGTTTATTAGTTCTTTTATTAAAAACTCTGAATTTACAAATGCTCTCACGAATTTAGTTGTCCCTGTATGGGATGCTTTTCTTTACTACATCTATCTTGTTTAATTGTTTAACTCATCTAAATTACCATTATTTAATAAATGTCACTCTCTCCTCGAAGGCCTTTCACAAAGGATTTCTCCTTTTACAAAGAGCTAATGTTCAAGTTACAAATGAACATCTATGCCTCTTTCATATCTTTCTTCCTATTTATATCTAATTAACACCTCTTCTAACTAAATAACTCATTGATATTCTAACTATCTTAATCAACTTCTCCTTCTCCTTATACCCCTAGCAATACACCCCTCCTAAAAATCAACCATGGCCTCAAGGTTGGAATTGTAGAAGCTGGATTCCATGGCTCATCTTCATCTGCCCACCTAAAAACATTGCAATGCTTTCTGGCCATAGAAATAGATCCCATTGGGATATTTGCGTAATTCTCTGAGATAGTATTTAAAGTTGTTTGCTGAAGGGAACTCCGTAGCCTTCTCATAGTTATCATTCTTGGATAGTAGAGCAAAGCAACCGATCCCAAAAGTGGGATAGGAGGTAGCTGGATGACTGATATATATATATATATATATATATATATATATATATATATATATATATATATATATATGAATTACTATGATAGATCATTAGATTACAAAATGGTGAGGATGAGGAGTAACTTTTTTACATATAATCTTTGAATAAGTAGATCCCTCTCTCTCTCTCTCTCTCTCTCTCTCTCTCTCTCTATATATATATATATATATATATATATATATATATATATATAGAGAGAGAGAGAGAGAGAGAGAAAGATAGATAGATATCTTCAAATTTTATTTTCGTTTTGGAAACATGGACATTTTCTGATTTAAGTTTCATTTTGAGCAAGTTTTTGTTCCTTTTCCCATGCTCTTGCACGATTTGCTTCTTTAACTTGTTTAATTAGTGCTTTGTTATTTTCAGATATGAACCTGTTTTAGTGCAGGAAATGCTTACACTTATTATTCAGATAATAAAAGAACGACGCTTTTGTGGGCTAATTACTGCCGAAAGTTTGAAAAGAGAACTAATTTATAAGTTATCCATTGGTGATGCCACTCATAGTCAGCTGGTGAAGTCTCTTCCTCGTGATCTCTCCAAGTTTGAACAGCTTCAAGACATCTTGGATGCAGTAGCTGTTTATTCTAAGCCATCTGGATTTAATCAGGTTTGTTGAACTCTTGTAAAAAATTATCACTTTCTTTTAGTAGCCTGTGTTTACTGATATTTTTATGTGTTATGTTAGGGTATGTACTCTTTGCGAGGGCCATGTTGGAAAGAATTGGACCTGTATCATCTACGTTGGAATTCAAAGGATTTACAAGTTGCTGAAGAAAGATACTTGCGGTTCTGTGGCGTCTCTGCCCTAACCACCCAATTGCCCCAGTGGACCGAAATTCATCCTCCTCTGAAGGGGTTAGCTAGAATAGCCACTTGCAAAGTTGTTCTACATATTATCCGGGCTGCACTATTTTATGCTGTTTCCACTTTTAAATCATCTGAATCTCGTGCTCCTGATAGTGTTCTTCTACCTGCACTGCATTTACTTTCATTATCATTAGATATCTGTTTTCAACAAAAAGAATCTATTGATGATACATACCATGATGTAGCACAGCTTCCCATAATAGCCCTTTCTGGAGAAATCTTTGAGACTTCTTTTGGTGAACAAAGCTTGTTGTCACTTCTTGTTTTATTGATGGAAATGCATAGGAGGGAAAATGTAGACAACTTTGTAGATGCAGGTGGTTGTAGTTTATTTACACTTATTAAAAGCTTATTGAAGAAATATGCTGAGATTGACAACAGATGCATGATTAAGTTGCAAAAGCTTGCCCCTGAAGTGGTCTGTCATATTTCTGAATGTAATCCATCTAGGGACTCAAGTGGCTCATCGTTGGCTTCTGATAGTGAGAAACGCAAGGCAAAAGCTCGAGATAGGCAGGCTGCAATAATGGTAGGCTATTGTGTTTTCATTCTGTTTTAATCAATGATATTAATGAAATGTCTTCTACTTTTCGGACCTTTGAATGATTTTATTGCTATTTCAAAGACAAATCTAAGACACAATGTCAATTATAAGAATATTTAAATTCTTGAATATTGTGAAAGACACTTTTTTGTATCTTCCAGGTGCATATTATAGAAGCTAAGGAAGTCATATGGTTGCAAAAATTCTCAATTAGCTTGTTAAAGATACATTTGATTCCATTAAATATGGAAATATGATATGATTTTTATTATATCAAATAGGGAAATATCTTACTAAATATTTTTCATTACTGATTGTTCCTCATTATATATAAGAATACTCATGTGTGTACACAACAAACAATATGGTATGAGTGGTGCCGTCCTCCATGATCTGATTTGTCACTATTCCACTTTGAGGTCATAACTTTTCTCCATTGATGCATTGGCCCCTACTGTCGCTTTGACTTTCTCTTGTAAACAATATCCATTGCAACATTTTTGTTCTCTGGTTTTTGAGCTCTGCTCTTCGGGGCAACTGCCGCACCTTTTGAGCAATTTTGCTCCTTGGTAGCTGTTGCACTTTTTGAGCATGTTTTGCTCTTCAATAGTCGATGTGCCCTTTAAGCATATTTTTCTCTCTGGTAGCCACCACGCCCACTAAGAATATGATTTGATTGCATTAAATATGGAAATATAAATACGATTTTATTATATCAAATAGGGAAATATCTAAGGAACTATTTCTCATTACTTATTATTGATTTTGTTCCTTACTGTATTTCTTCATTATAAATAAAAATACTCATGTGTAAACAACAAACAATTACAAGCAATCCTTTCAATATGGTACATAACTCGTTTTGTCACTAATCTACTTTTGGGTCATAACTTTTTTCCCTAGATGCATTGCTCTCAACTATCACTTTCACTTTCTCGGGTAAAGAATATCCATTGCAACATTTTTGCTCTTTAGTTGTTGTTGTGCCCTTCAAGTAGTTGTGCACTTTGGAGCAGCTGTTGCACCTTCTGAGCAATTTTGCTCCTTGGTAGCTGTTGCACTCGTTGATCATTTTTTGCTCTTCGAAAGTTAGTGTGCTCTTTAAGCATATTTTTCTCTCTGGTTAGCCCACCATGCCTAATAAGCAGTTTTGCTCACTGACAGTTGTTGTGCCTTTTGACCATTTTAGTTCTCTGACATTTGTTGCATTCTTTGAATATTTTTGCTCTTCAACAGTCGGCATGCTCTTTAAAGATATTTTTCTATCTGGTAGCCACCATGCCCACTAAACATTTTTGCCCTTCGGCAGTTGTCATGTCTTTGACCATGTTAATTCTCTGGCATTTCTTGTGCTCTCCGAGCATAATTTTCTCTCTAGCAACCACCTTGTCCTTCGATATTGTCTGCTCTCTTTGCACCTGCTGTGTACTTTGGCCTCTAATTGACCCTACAATTCCTGTCCCACCAACTCCTTGGCATTTTATCTTCACATACCTGCACAGTGTGTGAAGCTTTGTGTTTATTGACTTCGTGAGCTCCAACAACCAATGGACTACCATGCTCACTTTGAAGGGGTCTCGTGTTGATGACATTTATATCAAGCTTGACTCATATGATACATGTGCTTGACCTTAATGTCAAAAATATGTTTTGATTACATTAAATAGGGAAATATGATATGATTTGATTACATCAAATAGGGAAATGTATTAACAAATATATTTGTAAATTGTTTTTCCTTTATAGACACTTAGTTGAAACTGATCATACCTTATTGCATGGTACCAATATACCTCTCCACCATGGGGTGATTCAATTCGTATTGTATCTTATCAACTAAATGTCCTTTTCTTATTTGGAAATAAAGTTCTTAATTCCATTTTGTTTCCTAATGAACCACTATTTCACATTTCTGCTTGTGTTTTTTGTTGTGTGTTTTGTATGGGATGTGCCTTCAGATTTGGACAAACTCTTGACCCAAACCATCAAATGTTTCTTCCTAGGACATTCTTGTCTTCAAAAATACAAGTGTCTCCTTTTTTTGAAGAAATTCCTTTCTTCCCTTCTTCCATGCAAGATGTTAACCTTGTCTAATAGTTCTTGCCCATGCCATCAGTTGAGCATTTTGTGTCTCCTGTTCCTCACAATGTTCTAACTCCCCTGCATGTTCCAAGTTCCTCTCTCATCCAAGTTCAACAGCCTTTTTCATCTACACTCTTTGTATTCTGATGTACTTTCTCCTATAAATGAATGGATCAGCTAAGAGATACAATGTCTGTCTGTCTGTCTCTCTCACAGACACACACACACACACACACACACACACACACATATATATATATATATATATCATATTTTAGTCTCAAGTCTTTCAATATAGCTTAACATGCTTTGATATATGTTCTCATCCAGATATATTCTGTTCTGTTGTGCCAATTTCTCTGTCTTCACCATTTAGTCATGTTGACTATGCTTCTACAATGCAGGAAAAAATGAGAGCCCAACAGACTAAATTTTTGGCCAGCGTTGATTCCACTGTTGATGATGGTTCTCAACCTGGTCATGAAGGTGATTTAGACAATGAGCATGATTCTGAAGAAATTGATTCTCGACATGTTGTTTGCTCCCTTTGTCATGACCACAATTCAAAACGTCCCATCTCATTTTTGATACTTCTTCAGGTATATCTGGCAGTATCTTACATGCTATAGGCTTGATCAAACAGAGGTTCTAGTTTGTTGCATTGCATTTTTTTAAATTTATTTTTCGCCTGGTCTAATTGATATATTTTTGGTGTATAAGAAATCTAGGCTTGTGAGCGCTGTTGACAGGGGTCCTCCATCATGGTCTAAACTTTGCCGATCAGATAAAGAACATACACCTGTTATCAACACCAAGGAGACTGATACATTGACCATGAACTGGAATCCAGTTAGTTCGGGATCACCTTCATCTTCACACTTAAATCAATTTGTACAGATTGCTGCAAAAGAATTAGCTTCTTGTGGTAAACCTGGGGAAGTTCTTACTTTTCTGCAATATGTCAAGAATAAGTACCCAGCACTGGTAAATTTTCAGCTCCCAGACACATGTTATGATGAAAAAGAAAAGGCCCCATATACTTTTGAGACTTTAGAACAGGCTATGTACTTCTCCATTCATGATGAAATGCACGGTCCTCAATTATCTTCGAATTTGACAAATATGGATGACAAAGTTTTAACTGCTGGGGGGAATACAAATATTATATTAGACACTGGATCTGTATTGCTTGGGAAATATACTGCTGATCTTGTGCAAGAGATGTCAGAAATTTCTTCTGTGTCTGAGAATGCATCTAATGAGACTGTTGCTGTGAAATCTACATCAGATCATCAATCAGATGATGGATTTGGTCCTACTGATTGTGATGGTGTTCATCTTTCTTCTTGTGGGCATGCAGTACATCAAGGTTGTCTTGATCGGTATTTATCATCATTGAGAGAAAGGTATCTTTCATTTAGAATTATTAGCATAGCTTATTATGTCTTGTGATGATCTTCACATGCCTTTCCTAGTTGCTATACCTGAATCTATAGCATTTTGAAACTTCTTTCAGTTTTAACTTTGTGGTTTGTCCTTTTAGCATTGTTAAAATTATAATATAAAGCAATTCCGTCTCTCTCCCTGAGCTAGTGTTTGGGGTTGAGTTGTGCCTGCCCATTGTAAATATTATATGAAAACCTACCCAATCCCGATGTTATCCACAAATGTCCACAAATGCAGTTGATTGAGTTCTTCAATCAAGTCAAGTTCGAAGAATCAAATGATGCACACATATACACAGTATAGAAATGGTTACCAAGTAATGATTTGATGGTCATTTTGTTTTTTTTTTGTTATGGAGTAATTATTATGTTACTGTGTCTGGACAGATCTGTCAGAAGAATCGTTTTTGAAGGAGGACACATTGTTGACCCAGATCAGGTTTATGTCTTTTAAAATATGGATTTTCATTTTGTTATGATGCCTCTACAATCTTTTCACTCTCTTTTTGAATGTTTATTCTTTTTTTCAAGGGTGAGTTTCTCTGTCCTGTGTGCCGCAGACTTGCAAATTGTGTTTTGCCAACTTTACCTGGAGAATTAAAAAAGCCTTTGAAGCAGTCTATCATCTTGAGTACTGGTTCAATCAATACTGCTTCCCCCTTAGCTGAATCAAGTGAATTGACTTATTCACTTCGCCTCCACCCAGGCTTAAATCTTCTGCAATCTGCTGCCAATGCAGTTGGGAAACTTAAATTCCTAAATTCTATTCCTTTGCATCACATTGACAAAAGTAGAACAAATCTTGAAAACTTCCTGCGGGTGCTTTCTAAAATGTATTCCCCTTGCAAAGAAGAAAAGTTATCAAAGTTTGTCAGAATAAACCATTCAATGTTGATGTGGGACACTCTTAAGTACTCTTTGACATCTATGGAAATTGCTGCACGGTGTGGAAAGACATCTTTTACTCCAAACTATGCTCTTAGTGCCTTGTATGAAGAACTCAAATCTTCAAGTGGCTTTATATTATCCCTGATGTTGAAACTTGTTCAAAAAACCCGAAGTAAGAATTCTCTTCATGTTCTACAAAGATTTAGAGGCGTTCAACTCTTCGCAGAATCAATTTGTTCTGGGGTTTCACTGAATTATGAAAATAAGGACGACTGTGGGATAGGTATAATTCTTATTCTTATTTCTGTTTTGTTTGCTTCAATCACAAAATGGTATACTATTAGTATATTTAATTTTCTACTATTTTTCAATGTGAATATTAACTCTTCATCATGGAACTGGAAGACTAGGACTTAATGTTTTGCTGTTGTGACATTTAACAGGATTATTTTTTTTTGTAAATTTTTAGTTGATTAGGATAAATTTTCCCCACTGAAAATTTGTTTGGCTTCAAAAGAAAATTTAAATGAAAATGCACCACATTTGTTCCATTCCTTTATTACATGCCCACCAACTCTGTTTATCTATCTGTTACTAATTGTATCATTTCATATCTACTATATATCTACAGGTGATATGTTAAGTATCTTGAAGCATATTCAAATGGACGTGTCGAACACTGACATTAGCTTTTGGAGACAGGCTTCAGATCCTGTACTTGCCCATGACCCTTTCTCAACATTGATGTGGGTTCTCTTTTGTCTACCACATCCAATTTTATCTTGTGAAGAATCCTTGTTATCCCTAGTGCATGTTTTCTATATAGTAGCTGTAACCCAGGTTGGTCACGTTGCTTTCAATTTAATTAAATGTGTTGTGAAGTGTCTATGTCTTATACAATTTCAATGCAGGCTATAATTTTACATCATGAGAAATCTAAGGATAAATCGTTGAGGGATTCAGCTCTTTCAGGTTGTCTGATTACTGACATATATAAAGTTATGAATGAGTCTGGATATGCCCAACAGTACTTTGTGTCAAATTATTTTGATCCCAATGTTGATATTAAAGATGCGATTAGGAGGTTTACTTTTCCTTATTTGCGAAGATGTGCATTGTTGTGGAAGATACTCCATTCTTTTATCCCAGCACCATTTTGTGATGAGGAAAATATATTCGATAGATCATGGAATGCCCCAAAGGACACAATGGGCAGTTCCAATATTGAGATGTTTGAGGTCACTAAAATTCACGAGCTCGAGAACATGTTCAAAATTCCCTCTCTTGATGTGGTTCTCATGGATGAACTTTCAAGAATGACAGTCTCTAGTTGGTGTCGTCATTTTTGCAAGGACTCTCATAGAATTCAACAAACCATGCATGTAACACCTGCTGTTCCATTTGAATTAATGAGATTGCCCAATATTTATCAGGACCTTTTGCAGAGGTACTTTTAATTATTATATTGTGTTATGTAAGGTACCATATTACTACTCTTTTTGTTCTTACAACATCTACACAAGCAGGTGTATCAAACAGCGATGCCTTGCATGCAAATCTGTTCTTGAGGACCCTGCTTTGTGCCTACTATGTGGCAGATTGTGCTCTCCAAGTTGGAAATCATGCTGCAGGTTCATTTCTTATCAATGTCTTCATTTATTTTACAGTTTAGGCCAGGAAATGCTACTTGAGCATTTAAAATTTTGTCTCAGATTCTTTATTTTTAATTCGATAATGACAAGGTAGAATAATTTTTTTACTTGGGATCAGATTCAACTGAACTACTTTTTCAAGTTTATTGGTAGCTACAATGTAAACTTGAGCTTCTATGTTTAGAATTGTATTTTCTATTTTTCAACCTTTGCAGATTTGTTCCCATGACCATTTCATCTCAGACTTGAAGTTTTCTTTTATTTTTTTATTATTTTATTTTTTAGTTTTCTATGTATTCTCGAAACTACATTTAACGAATGTGGTAACGATTTTGAGTAAGGAGAACATGGTCTGTATCATTAATTGATGACAAGCCATAAAAAAAATGATATTTGATCGTTGTAGGTGTGAGTTCCATTTATCCATGATGTTTTATTTATTATTTTATTTTGGGAGTTGCTGAATACTTGTGGAATTAAAAATTAGGGCTTCATGATGAAATAGTGTTCAGAGGCTTAGGAATTTGCTGGCATATGGAATTTGATTTTGTTGGGATGATTCTTTTTCTTTTTGTCCCAATAAAGAGGACCAGATCTTTCTCCTTTAATAGTTTCATATAGTCTCGACTGATGACTGGTTGACATGGATTATAAAAGTATTTTTTTTGAGAACCTAGTCACTCTGCTGCTAGATACAACTTTCATTTCATGTAGTCTTGTTATATATGCATATGTCACATAACAACGATCGTGGTCAAATTAGGAGAATTTAGTGCTGCATAGCATTTGTAGCTGTATTCATATATTTCATAGTTTTGGTCTCATTCTGAAGCCGAAATTTTCACTTGACCTTGATATTTCTCATGGATTTTCTTATTTATGTGAACTTGAAAGGATTTCTTTTGTACATTTTAAGGGAAAGTGGATGCCAAACCCATGCTGTAACCTGTGGAGCTGGTACTGGAGTATTTCTGTTGATTAAGGTATCCTGTTCTTTCTCCAACTTGATTGAGTTTTGATTTACTTGTCTGCTTAGGTTGTCATTTTAGTTTTTGCTCTTCATCTTGCCCTTTGAATCTTCTTTTTCAGCTATCTTGAGGCATCTCCTCTTCCTTATTTTTTATTATCTAAGTAGTTGTTTTGCTTGGATAGTGAACTAATAATCAGCTGTTTGTACTGACAGAGAACAACGATCCTACTACAGAGATCTGCACGTCAGGCCCCTTGGCCTTCTCCTTACTTAGATGCTTTTGGTGAGGAGGTAAGTTTCCCTTTTGAAAGATTTACTAACATACATAACATTATAATTTTTCTTCTCTGCAACTAAGAAGCTGATAGGACCCAGGGAGTTATATAATTATTTAGAAAAGAGTTGTAGAAAGTTTGTTGGTTATAATAGTAAAGTTAGGCTCTTAGCTCAAATAGTAATATGGTGATAGTAAGGGAGGGTCGGTCTGATTTTTTGCTCAGGAGCAGTAGATCAGTTGGAGAAAAAGGAATCCCAAAGGGAAAACTCTTGGAAGGAAAATTTGCTCCGTTTTTTCTGTTAGGATTTCCTTCACCAATTAGATTCATTAGAGTTCTTAGCAGAAGCTCTGAATAAAAAGGATCAAATATCTCAAAAACCTTAGTTCTTATTTTGTTTCACCATTTTCCAATATTTATAGATATTGCTCTATGCTTAAGTGGATATGCTCACTCTTCCTTCAAGGTGTTTAAATTGAAGCCAAACCCTTTCAGGGGTCATTTGGCATCATGACATTAAGAGCAGAAAATGGGGATTGAAAATTATAACTTCATATGTTGGTGTCAGGACTTTGAAATTCTTGTTTCCGAATTCTATTTAAGCTGCCAAGATTCAGGCACTTGATATGTAACTAAAGCTAAGAAGTTCAAATTTATGGTATTTCCAGTTCTTCAAATTTCTCTATTTGTCATGTTCATTACTTCAGGATTTTGATATGACACGAGGCAAGCCACTTTACCTGAAAGAGGAACGCTATGCTGCTTTAACTTATATGGTAAAGAAATATTCTATTTTTACCCTTTATTGTTCTTTCAATTTCATTATAACAATTAACATTTTAAGCAATGGCTTTTTATATATTTAGGTTGCTTCCCATGGTCTGGACCGGAGTTCCAAGGTTCTTGGTCAGACCACCATCGGTTCCTTGTTCCTGGTTTAGTTCAAATTCCACATGTTTACTTATAGTGTTAAGGTCTGATTTTTGAATTATCAGTTCATATTTCACATGTTTTCCTCCTCTGTTGTCTGCTAAAACACTCTGTTGGTGGTGACCTTGTGAATGCAGAACTTTTTATTGGATCTCTGGAGGACGGAAATTGGTTCTAAATATGCTAATTTATTATGTCATGCACTTCTCTGACTAATTGGAAGATCACTAGTTCATACTGTGTCTTCTGTGAAAAATGTACAGCCCATTAAGGTGTGCATGTTTATTATAGAATTTTATTTATATCGATGTCAATGTCATTTTTACCATGGAAAGATTTCTTGGATAAATTGGATTACCCACTTATTTAAATTTTCAAATCTTTGTAACTACCTCAAATGGTGAAGAAAATAATGAGATATTTTTTATTTGGACAAAGGTTAATAGTTGGGGGACTTTCCCATAGATATTACTTGTTTATAACACCAATGAGTTCTAGAGTTTTATGGTTTAGTTCAAGAAAGATGCAATGCCACCCACTGATCCATATATCCCTAGAAATTCATTGATAGATTACTTAGGAGTCTGTTAGTGCAGGAGTTAGGTTAGTGGGGGTACTGAGATAGTAGAAGAAATTCGGCATATTGCCTATAATTTAGAGGGGAGGTTGAGAGTTGTGAAAGGATTAGACTCCTTTAAGAGGGGTGAGGGGAGAGCCAGATCTCTCAAATGTCTAGCGACATCATTTATTTTGTATCTTCCCTAGCCTAAAGCTTCTGCCACATTAACATAGCAATTAGGATTTATGATTCATGAATAAAAATTCATTTTGTCCTTTAGATTACAAGAGATAATGTTTGGTACCAGAGACCTTTTAATACGCAGAATCATTATTCCCATGAATCCTGGGAATTAATGATTTCAAAGAATGACTAAATTCTTTTTTGTTAGTAAAAATTATTGTTTGGAAAGTTAGATTCTCACTTTTCCCTATGAGAATTGTGGTAAATTTGACCAAAAAGCAGTCCAGGATGACATGATTTCCTGTGAATGTTATTTTTTACAAGAAAAATCTGTGAATGTTATTTTTTACCAGAAAAATCTTTGAATGTTATTTTTTAAAAGATAAATCAAACATGTGAAACATAATTTGCAATTTCAGATAACCAAGAAACTAAACATCTCCTACGAAACGTTCCTCAAGGTTTGATTCTTTCTGATCTCTAGTTTCCTTCCGTTTTGGTTATGACTCTTGTATCATTAGTGTGAAGTGATTTGGTTTCAAAACACTTCATTGAGGCTTTTCCTTTTTTCTATTTTTTCTTGTTTGCATAATTTCACCGTAGGAATTTCTTTTCTACTACTGTCCACTCTCCATCTAAAGTGATATTTCAACTTGAGTAAAAAATTAGTGATATAATATCTTCAGATTCGTGGGCTACTATCACTTCTAATATTACTTGCAAATCAATTTTTTAAATTTGAAACAGTGAACTTTTGAATCTTTATCCCAGGGCAGCCATAATGCAATCAATTCATTTTCTATGGTGCGACTATTTAGGGCGTAACTTGTACATTCTATACCTGTTGTTTAGAGCTTTCCAAAAATATTAGGTTTGGCAGCGTATTAAATTCCGTCCAGTTTTTTCCTCTCCCCAAACTTCTCAATCCCCCATTTTGGGCTGTAAATGATTTTCTCCTTTACTGTATGTGAGCCAAACATGAATTCTTTCTTTTATTTATTCCTGCTTATTGATTTGGTATCCTAAAGCTCTGCATTCAATTCTCTGAATAATCAATCACCTTTAGATCACAAAAATCCGGGTTAGCAGTTGTGTTACTTATCGTTCCTTTTTAAATTTTTATTATACACTTTTTACTTGGCACTAAAGTAAAGTAGTTTGCAAGTTTTATGAATTTATACTGACAAGGTTATTTCTTTTCACATATCAGTTGCTGGGTAAAGATTTTAAACGTGGTCCCTGTCTTAGAATCTACCTGCTGGTCATGGCTGTGCAGATATGCTCGATGCTGACGTAGCTACAACTTTTCTACTGCTCCATGCTTACCATAAAGTACGTTTTCCATGAAGCAGGTGCACTGGTGTACATATATCATCATACTGGTGAGAGGAACAATTGCTTCAAGGTATACATTGTGGAATATGAGCTTATCCTTACTCATCAGAGTTGGTTCTGTATCTATTCCTCTCCATCTTTTTAAGTTGGGTGTTTGGTTGGGCATATTGTATACAAGGTATATTATATATATATATATATATATACTGAATTCTACTGTCTATGTGTTTCCCTTTTAGTATATTTGAGGAACAATGCTAATAGAGTATTGTTAAATTTGGGCTGTTTTTCATTTTCAAGGTTGTGATGATATTATCGTATTTTGGTGCATTTTAAATAAAAGACAGAATTGATTGCATTGGAATGTAAGTACATATACTATCTAGCTATTGCTGGAATGCAATTTAAATTATCCTAGTGAAGTGGGTGGATGTTGCGAAGGAAATTGTAGCAAGTAATAACCAATATTAGGAAAGGCCTTGAACACATCCAGTATGGATAATCCCTCCAATATGGTTTATTCCATACCGAAGTCGCATAGTTATAATTTCTAATTCAAATTTTTTACAAATTTTTAAATAAAAATTCAAATATCTTCCAGCATTATCTAGACATCACATGACAAGTGTCACTTGATAAGCTATACCAGACCAACTAGTAGGATCTAACTTCCCTCTTATTATTAATTATTCGGTACTGGTAGAAAATTGAAAAGGTTGCATACCCTTTAACTGAATTCTCTGCTGAACATATCTAAAGATTTGTTTTTACCATTATTACTGGGTTGTAGGAGATTGTAATATATTGTCTCCTTCGTAGTGCATCACTTTTTTGTTTGTCAGAAGATGGATTTAGGTGGAATATTATAAAATGTATATCTCCTTGGCAATTCATCACTTTTATTTTTCTAAGTTTAGTCAGTACTTAAAATGATTAAAGTAGCCTTTGCATGTTGAAAGGAGTGAATCTCATTACATAACCACTGATTCATCCTAAGTGGGTAAGAATTAGATGAAAGGGAATCATACATTCTAAAGACTAGAAGAAAGATGGTGGTTTCGTTGGCATGCAAGCTTATCCATACATAGTGTCCTCAAATATCTAGCTTCCATGAGACAAGCTAGTTGGTCCTTCATCAAAAACAATACCACGTTGTGAAGAAAGAGAGAGGAAGAGGACTTGTGTTTAGCATGTGGTCGATGGACTTACCCGTTAATTTGTTATAAATATATTAAGGTGGGTTGGTGTTTTTAGTTTATCAGTTTATTTTGGTATCAATTAGGCATGACAACAGGGCGGTGATGGATTTTGCCTTCTCCATCCCCGACCCCCACTTTTTAACCATCTCTCGTTTACGTCCCGATTCCTACTCGGGGTTAGAAATTAAATCTTCATCATCGTTCCTGTTGGATTTTGAGTTCCCTGTCCCGTTTTCGATTTATATTATTTTTAAAAAGATAATTATATTTATAATAAATTAATTTTACTATATATTTTTATATATAAATAAATATTTATAATTTATAATTATTATTAATTAAATATATATTTTAATTTATAATATTGTATTCAAATATTTGAATACTTATAATATTATTATTATAATATTGTATTCAAACATTTAATTACATATATAAATTAATTCACTTTTAAGATGTCATTTAAAAATATATATAGTTTATAAGAAAATATTTAATAAGTTAATTCTTATTTAATTAGTTTCAAGTAATAAAAGTTTAAATTATCAATTTCTTTTAATATTTTAAAATATAAATATTTTATTAAGATAAAATTTGATATATGATAGATAAGAATAATAAGATAAAAAATTATGACATAATAAAACCTAATAAATATAAATTATAAATAAAATAATATTAGTTATTACTAAGATTGATGTAAAATATTTAGAAAAAGATAAAGAAAAAAATAACTTTGTGTTTATCAAATTGGTTGAAAAGATTAAAAAAAAATATTGATGGGAGAGATTAAGAAAATGTGAAAAACAGAAAGACAAGAGAGAATAATGTAATAAGTGGGTAGAAGAAAAAATGATATAAAAGATAAAAGAATAATTGATATAAAAGATTAAAAAAGATAAAAAAATTAAAAAGTGGGTAAAAGAAAAATAAAAATGGTGAAATATAAAAAGATGACGTTATATATAATAGAAACATAAAATAAAATATTTTTAAAATATTAATATTTTAAAATTTAAATTTAAATATATAGTCGGGTGGGGACAGGGTCGGAGTGGGGATTACATTATCCATCCCCACCCCCGACTTTTTAAAGCGGGGAAAACCTGAACTCAGCCCTGCCCTCGGTCAACTCGGGTTTTCTCCGTCAAACTCGGGGCGGAGATAGGTCGGTTCCCACATGTACGAGTTTAATTGTCATCTCTACTGTCAATTCGTTGGGCTGCGGGATGGGGTAGGTCAACTTGTTTGCAACCTGTCTAATTAATAGATTATTTTTTTATTGTAATTGGTTAGTCATAGACAATATATAAATTAAAAAATTGAAAAAAATAATTAAAATAGTCTCATTCTCACTAAGAAGCATTCTTTTTACTCAAACACAAACTTCTTTTCCTCTCTCTCTTCTTGTCATTTTCTCATTGTTCATCTTGAACATTAATTATTCTTATCCAGTATAACTTGAATTAAAAGTGTAAGAATTATGAAGAGGAGAATAATATGAAGTTTTATTAAATAAAAAGATATAAATATTTAAATTTTTTAATATAAAAATTATAATTTTATAAGTTTTAATATTATTTATATATATTATATATTATTATATAAATTTTATTATTGTTTTATATTATAATTTTTTAAAATAATATATTAATTTATATTATTAATTTAAAATATATATGTCGAATTATTGATGAACAAATAATAATTTTATTATTAAATTTATTGAAAATTT